TAGTAGAGACAGGATTTCACCATGTTGACGAGGCTGGTCGTGGACTCTTGACCTCAGATGATCCACCCTCAGCCTCCCAGAGTGCTGGGATTACAAGCGTGAGCCACCGTGCCCAGCCAATTTTTAAAGTGTTTTATGGAGATTGGGGATCTTGCTATTTTGCCCAGGCTGGTCTTGAACTCCTGAGCTCAAGCAGTCCTCCCACATTAGCCTCTTAAAGTGCTGAGATTATAGGTGTGAGCTACTACACTCAGCCCAGTAATTTTTAAAATATATAGTTACTCTTTTTAGAAATATGTGCTTTTATTTTATTTGTATAAATTTATAGGATACAAGTGGAATTTTATTAGATAGATTGCAGAGTGGTGAAGTCAAGGCTTTTAAATACATTTTTAGACAAATGCCCTTTTCTTTCTTCCAGAGATGAGAGTCCTGCCAAAACAGAATTTTTTCAGCATTTGATTGAAGACCGGACAGAAGCTGCATTTTCTTACTATGAATTTTTGCTTCATGTTCAGCAGCAGATTTGTAAGTGAAGTAGAATAAAGTTGAATAAGAAAAAGATCTATAACCTAGATAAAGCATAATCTGTCAAAGAAGCGTGTAGGAAATTTGAAATGAAGGAATTTGTTAATACAAGATACAACGCACAGCACTCTGTCTGAGGCTTTATTAAAAAGTCAAGGGGAAGAAAGAACCTGACAGATTTTTTTCAACCCAGATTAATGGTTACGATGATGCTGTTTCACCAAGTATATTTTGAATTGGTTTCTACACATTTCCAGTAGTATGGCAGTACAGTCCTCTGTTCATTGCAAGCTGGCAAATTTATGTAGCTATGTGGAATGATACGTCATGTAAAACTAGATCAATTCTTTTTTCTTATAATTAATATAACATTTCTGAACTTGAACTCTGGCAAGAGATGCCAAAAGGCAGTGGTACCGTGTTACTTGTTTATATGAATTACTTTTTAACAAGGAATGATTCTTATTCATTAAATGAATTCAACATTTTCCCTGTAAAAACAATAGAGTTTCAGTACATGAACTATAGAAAAAAATCTATATATAATGTACATAAATGTTACATTTGTAAAGAAAATGTAAAAATGTAACTATAGAATATGAATTGCTTAAACTGTGCTGCATTGTTGGATGACAACTCTTTTTGTCACAGTTAGAGAATGAGATTGACTAATGCATATTATGAATTGAGTCCACAAAGGAACACAAAACTCTTCATAATTCTGTTAAATCTTTTATGTGGATTTATTTATGATCAGCCTACTAATTAAAAATATTTCGCTTGACAGTATGGTTTGGTGATTTTTGGGGGGTTTTTGTGGGGATTGGTGGGTTTTTTTTTTTTTTTTTTACGTACAGGATGTATTGAATTTACTAATTGGAGAAATGCAGTGATACTGCATTTCAGTTAGTAATATATATGAATCAGACCAGTCGCAGTGGCTCACGCCTATAATCCTAGCACTTTGGTAGGCCAAGGTGGGCAGATCATTTGAGGTCAGGAGTTTATGACCAGCCTGGCCAACATGGTGAAACCTCGTCTCTGTTAAAAAATACCAAAATTAGCCAGGTGTGGTGGCAGGCACCTATAATCCCAGCTACTTGGGAGGCTAGGAGGCTGAGGCA